AACAAAAGCACTCGCTGCAGCTCCCAAAGACTCTTGATGAGGAGAGAAAGGAGACAGAAGAGAGGAGTCCATCTGCGAGTGAGATGTGAAAGAACTCTGATGGGCCCCTGGGTGACCAGAGATCCTGAGCGCTTGGTTCGTTGAGAGGAAGTCTGGATTCCGGCTGTCATGAGTTCTGTAATCACGTCGGGGAACACTGTGTTCTCGGACCAGAAGTAAAGCGAAGTGGAATCTGACAGGTTGTCTTCATGTCTCAAGGACTGGAGAGCGTATGACTGACAGCACCAAATCCTGAGGAAGAGCCGGTCCATAATGCCAATCTAAGAACTCTAACCTAGATAGAGCTGTTAGTAAAAGCAAAGCGAGTCAATCTTGTGCAAAGACGACACTGGACATATGTATTGCAATTAACACACGTGGGCTACTAACCACTTGGCACCAACTAACCCTTACTTCTCCTCAATGCCAAAAATACAAAAGCAGTGGTTTTTAAAGCATTTTGATGCCAAAATATGATGCTATGCCTATAAGTAGATTTATAAGCATATAAGTAGATTTAGAAATAGAAGCATATTTTGCATGTCTAAAGACTTGTGTATACTGTAAAAGAAAAAAAAACTTGCTAGTTAAGGTCACTAACCAATAGGGATGTAATGATATTATCAATATCGAAATACCGCGATAGCAAAACTGTCTCAATATTATCGTGGTCACATGACGATATGAAACGATAGGTCTTCCGGGCAAAAAGTGTAGTTCTTAAATATATATTTAAACTTCTTATTCTAACATAAAAAGTCTTTAAAGTTGTGTTTTGGGCCATTATGCTTTGGCACAGTACTGTATCTGTTAAACAAACTAAAACCGAAAGCACAATATGGCTTAATCACTTACCAAGTCTGTTTGCGCTGCGCACCCACCAGTTGTGCTTTATTTTCGCGGCAGATCATTACAGCATTTCACTAGATTTGTAGTGAGACGCGTTTTTGTAAGCCTGTTTTCTCTGAAGCTGGAGTTTTCCTTCAAAATAAAATCTACTGTTGTTTCTGTCAAAATAAAAGCTTAAAAGTGTAGTATAAATTGCTGACAGCTAGAATGCAGTCCAATTCAAAATATCTCTTTCAAGTGTAGAAATTAGGAAATAAGTATTGTAATTTCCCTACTGTAGTGTAAAGCAAAAATAATATGCCTATGAAATATTTGTTTTCATTTATTTTACAGTACAATTGTTTAAAATATATGGCTATTACTGTCATTGTTGTTGTTATTATTATTATTATTATATTCTAATTTGTTTGGCTTCCTAAAACACCAGTGTGAACGTCATTTAGACTGAGACAGTATATCGCAGGGATCCTCAAATCTGGCCCAAGAGATCCACTTTCCTGCAGAGTTTAGCTCTAACCCTAATCAAACACACCTGAGCATGCTAATCAATGTCTTCAGGATCATCAGAAAATCACAGGTAGGTGAGTTTGATCAGGGTTGGAGCTAAACTCTGCAGTGCATTGGCCCTCCAGGGCAAGATTTGAGAAACCCTGGTATATCACAAATAAAAAGAGGCTTGAGTCCCCTTTAAAGTTCAGGTACAATTCACTGACTTTTTTCTGGTTTAAGTTTTCTTAGTTAAGAACATGGGTTGGAGCTCTTAATTTTGAACTCTCAAAGTGCATTAGATAGAATAATTTAACTTTAAAATGTACAAAATATTCTTTTTTTTCCAATTTTTCATTTGTCTTTTTTTATTTTTAAATATCGCAATATTATCATATTGTGGACTTCATATCGCAATATTATCGTATTGTGAGATTTTGATAACTTTACATCCCTCCTAACCAATCAGTCAGATGTTGGATGACTAGCTGAATATCTCAAGCTTTTGTTCTTATCCATACAGTTGTCTGGCTGCCACCGGTTAGCTGCTGCCTCAATAACCAGTAGTCATACTGTAAAGTCGCACTGAATTTATCGTATTTACTATCTATGTGTAGATTCTCTCTGACACATCTTTCTACTTTGGTAGTGATCTGGAATAACATTACTCTGCATAAAATGAAACATGCTTAGTTCAAAGCCTTCTCTTACAACAAAAAACACTCCAAAGCATCCAGTAGTGAGTTTGCGGCAAACTCATTAAAAAGTTTCTCACTTAAGTTCACAAGAAGGAAAAGTAAATGGATGGATAAAATAGCTTAGAAGAATGTGAGGAGGAGGAAATCACAATGAGGAAGATGAACTTTGTTTCCCTGGTGGAGTCGAGGATGATGCATGTTTGCATAATTAAAGTCTGATTCGCTGGCGTGTAAAATATCTGCCTAACACACACATTATAATTTAAATAATCTGACAACCTTGTAAAACACGCTTTCACCATTTGCCCTATTGAAGTTAGATGTCTTAAACTGTGTGCATAATTCAAGGTTCGGTCGCATAACATTGTCCCTGTGGGTACTGAGACAGGCGGAAGAGAGAGACAGAATGAGATATCTGCATACAGAGCTGAGTAGTGACAGGTAGACAATGCTGATATGAATAATTGAAAAAAAAATCAAGTAAAGCAACATGCCGGAGCTATTCAAAACAAGCTAAATGTGAATAAATCATCAGTAGGGGGAAGAGACAGAGAGAGAGAAAGAGAGAGAGAGAGAGCGAGAGAGAGATCTTAATTATCTTGTGGCTGTTAGTGTGTTTAAATGACTAAATCCAAAACCTTGTTCTAGGTACAAAACTAATTTCTTTAAACTTTGGTTTATTTAGTGTCTGTGTGTGGGTAGCAGTACAGAAACCCAATAGTAGCAGCAGCATGCAATGGTCCTGTCGAAATGTTGGGAGGAAATATAAAAAATACAATTGTTTCTGACACCAGTTTGCGAGTCAATGTCTAAAGCACACGTAGTTCAGTCAAGGACGGTTACAAGTCTGACTGTTAAAGGCAGAAAATTTTGAAAGCTGATTCATGGACAAAAACTTAATTTTTCTAAATCGAAGGGTGTCCATTGTAAGTCTGAATTCCACACTGCCTCGATAGCCCAAAACAGAATGATGGGGGAAAAAAACTACATACAAAGCACTAGGGGGTGTAACGGTACACAAACTTAACGGATCGGTACGTACCTCAGTTTTGACGTTACGGTTCGGTATGGTTTCGGTACAGCAGGAGGAAAAAAACTAACACACACACATTGGTTTTTATGGTTTATGGGGACTCTCCATAGGCGGAATGGTTTTTATACTGTACAAACGGTATTTTCTATCGCCCTACACCAACCCTACACCTAAACCTACCCCTCACAGAAAACTTTGTGCATTTTTAGATTTTCAAAAAAAAATTAAAAACTGATTTGATATGATTTATAATTTATAAGCCGTTTGAATTACGGGGACACCGAAAGTGTCCTCATAAATCACCTTCAAGTTGTAATACCTGTCATACCCATGTCACTATACAAATTTGTGTCCTCATAAACCACATAAACATGCACACACGCACACACGTTTGTTTCTGTGAATTGTGGGGACCTTTAATAGACTATTACTTTTATACTGACCAAACAATATTTTCTATACCCTAACACAACCCTAAGCCTAAATCTACCCCTTACAGAAAACCTGTTTGCATTGTTACACTTTCAGATAAACATCATTAACAATTTTTAATAATTTGTTTCCCTCGTGTCAAAAATTTCAGGTTTTATTATCCTTGTGGGGACATTTGTTCCCCACAATGTAGCATAAACAAGTACACACACACACACACTTTTTTTTTATTAAACAGGTTACTGAACAAATTGCTTTTTCTTTAAATGCATTTAACTACAAAAAAATTTTTAGGGATAAAAATCTACCTAAGTTTCTGCTCTATACTATAGGGAGCCCTTTTACATTACTACATTACATTACATATCATAACTTAAATTCAATTACCATTTATTTTTAAAAATTTGTATGCAAACGTAAATTGCACATAATGCAGTTTTTAAATTAACTTCTAAATTATACAATTTCTATTTGTTGTTGAAATATAATCATTTACACAGTGGCTGTCATAACTTGTTTCATAAAAGTTTTATTTAAACATGCATTAAATAATTAAGACATCACTACACAATATTTCGCGAAATGCTCTTCTCTAGACTTCATTTCTAGAAAATAAGAGCTGTAGACACTCATGACTTTCCTGAGCTAAATTAAATTCTACGTGACATTTTGTTTGCAAGTTGTTTTAATGTCTTTTCGCAATTGAAACACTGATTGAGCGATCACTGTACATGAGATGTTCATTCATGTTTATTTTGCGTTAAAACTAGTAGTAAAGAGGAAGGGATGATGACGCTCACTCGCGCTCTGCACTGCCGTTAGAACTGAGGCTTCTATACAGTTATCTGTCGCACCACAAAGAGCTCCAAAACGGCATGCATTGTCTGAATTTCCTGAAAAAATTGAATGATTTGTTCGGTACACGTGCGTACTGAACCGAAAGACCTGTACCGAAAATATTCAGTACAAATACGTGTACCGTTACACCCTACAAAGCACAAACAATGACACCAATATTTCCTAAAATACATTTGAATAACTCAACATAACTACTAACATAAAACATTAAAAAACTAAAATTGTCAAACTATTAAAATTAAACAGTCATATATTATATGATATCTAAAAGTTATTATGATTGGCTAAGTCTGAGCTATTTATAGGGCTGTATTATATTATGAAATATTAACAAAACAATATGAGCTGAAATGTGACGTCTGAAGGTCAGACTGAAGTGAAAACGTGAGGAATGTTTCTAACAATGCAATTATTTAAAAAGATATGCAGAGCAACAGGTGCTACACACAGCAAGGACAAACTCAAGGTTAGTTCTTCTTATTACTTCACAATGGCTAGGAAGCCCAAGTTTGTAAAAAGCAAAGTTTTTTGCTTAAATGTTTGATTATTATAGCGCAGTACAGTATTTATGCAGTGACTACACAGAAGTGTTAACATTGACTGACCAGCTCTCTGTGTGCCGAAGGTAATGGCGAGCCTGGTCAGCAGGTCCTCATTCTCGTAACGCTCTTCTTTGGCGGCGACCCAAAAACAGCTCTCGGACATCTCCTGGGGGGAGATCTACACAGAAACAAAAATCAAAGAAAAAAAATCATGACAAATCATGGGAGGTCAGGATGCTGGAGTTGCTAGGCAACGTGAGGCATCTAAACAGTGAGGTGGTTTATGAAAAAGTAAAGAGGAAACCTATTCAAATATTCATACTGTGTTCTATTGCTGGTCTTTATTTTGTTCTCCTACATGTCAGTGTGTGTGACAGCTGAATGCAGCCCTGGAGAGGCTCATTCTCAGTCGTCTCAGTACATGAAAAAACACAGGGCCGATATCTCCAGTCAAACATCGCCACACACGGGCCACACGCACACCTAAAATACCCAGGGCTCCAGACTGCGAATAAAATGGTTGCATTTGCGACCAAAAATATTTAATTTGCGAGTGAAGTTTTTGACTACATATATTTACGTTATGACTTAAAAATGTGCATGTAATGCCCTTTTTCCTAATTGTTTTGCGTTATGTTCACGTATTAAACTGAGACGATGCGCATTAACGTTTTAGTGGAAAAAAAGAGTTTCAAACAGTCCTCATCTCTGCCGAATAGCGGCTTTGAAGAAGAAAGAAAGCAAGAAATAAAGAAAGAAATTATTTTTTTTACTCTTAGAATTATTTCATCAATACATCTGGCTCAATGTGATGTTAAGACAAAGTTAAGACTACAAACAGTGTCTTAGTGTTGATCTAATCTGGCAGTTTGAAAGGAAGCCATGGTAACATTGGCGGAGAGTACAGCATTGTGGGATGATCAGTTTAATGGAGTCTTCTTGTTGAGATAAAGACTGAAAGGGTAATCAATGCGGCCGGCTGCGCTAATGAACAGACCTCACACTCCTGCCAAATACCTGAGCCAATAACAGCTCTTCAAATCTGCTCCATGAGGACATGTTCAAAGAAATCAAACAATCAGGAACGGACTGAACATGAGCCTGAAGAGTAGCCTCTCAGTGGAAGCGATTAACCCATGTTTCCAACAGTGTGTGTGATTAAGCGAACATGCGCTGCTACGTTCAGCCCCTCTGACGGGCACAGGGTGGCATGTTCCCTATGATGCACCAGCTGCCTCGTCTTTGGCTTTGTGAGCTGCAAAGCTCTAGTTAATGAGTGATAAAAGTCTTGGGTCAGGAGCCATGAATATTGTATGGTGTCAGTTTCTCAAGCTGCTGTTTGAAAGAGCTTCTTTGTGTCCTCCTAATGGCTAATTACAAACAGGTTTTGGATGAAATGAAGCATATGGCGGATTCTTTAAAAACATCTGTATGATGGTGGCAAAAAGGACAGAGATTAAATATTAATTGGAATGTTATAAACTAACAAAACTCAGAAGATATCGAACCGCAACATCTGCCTAGAAACGAGAGCAGGCAGTCACACAGTAAAGTGTAATCCTTCACAACGGAGCAACATTTGCTTTAATGATGCTTGGCAGGAAACAGAAGAAGTTTTCTTTGGTTACTTCGCAAACATCTGTCCTTTCACGCTGCTGTCGCCACCACATTTGAGCGCCCAAGTAGGATTCTGTCCCACAATGGATTGAGTGAAGTTAAAGACTAAAATGTTACCTTGGACCAGTTGAGGCGCTTCATGGAAGCCTCTGGTTTGAACTCCTTCTTGGGTTTTAGGCCAAAAGGCAGCACGTGTTGGATTGAGAAGGATGTCAATCCACCTAGTCCCAAAGGAGGAGGAGGGGGTGGAGGCATCCCGGGCATGGAGGCACAGCCAGGTGGAGGCGGTGGAGGTGGAGGGGGTGGCGGACCTGGAACTCCTGGAACAGGTGGAGGAGGAGGTGGGGCAGGGGGACATGAGGAAGAGGTAGTTGAAGACAAGGCTGGGACAGACTGCACTGAAGGTAAAACCACTGGAACAGCTCCGAACTATGAAAATAAGAGACAAAAAGGGACAAACAGCAGATACATGCTTCATATTAATTCAGTTCCTTTTTCTAAAACAACTTTAAAATATACACTACTGTTTAAAAACTTGAGGTCAGTGAGATTTTTTTTTTTCAGTTTTTGAAAGAAGTCTCTTAGGCTCACCCAGGCTGTATTTATTTAAACAAAAAATACAATAAAAACAGCAATATTGCTTAGAAATGTTATTACAATTTAAAATTCCTGATGGCAAAAATTAAATTTATACATACAATACATACATATACATAGTCATGTGAAAAAGTTAGGACACCCTATTGAATTCCATGGTTTTCTGTATCAGAGCATAGTTAAAAAAATATATCTGGTCCTTGGCAGGTCTTAAATTTTGGAAACTAAACCCTCAGATGAACAACAACACAAGACATATTGCACTGTGTCATTATTTATTTACCAAAAATAATGCCAAAATGGAAAAACCATGAGTGACAAAGTTAGGACACCCTTAATGTTAACATAGGAATTAAGAGGGCAAGAAGCAGTCAGGCACTGCTAATCAAATACCTTTGATTAACTGATCATCAGCAAGTGTGAACACCTCTATAAAAGCAGAAGTTGTTGCGGTTTGCTGGTCTGGATCCTTCAGGTGTGTGTTAACACAATGCCAAGAAGGAAAGACATCAGCAATGATATTAGAGAAGCAATTGTTGCTTCCATCAATCTGGGAAGAGTAGTACCATTTGCAAACAAACTGAAGTCCATCATTCCAAAGTGATGAAGATAATTCACAAGTGGAAGACATTCAAACAGATCCCAATCCTCCCAGGAGTGGACATCCCAGCAAATTCACCCCAAGATCAGACCATGTAATGCTCAGAGAAATGGCTGTATCATAGTTAAAAAAAAAAATAATCTGTTCCTTGGCAGATCTTAAATTTTGGAAACCAAACCCTTAGATAAACAACGACACAAGACATATTGCACTGTGTCATTATTTATTTACCAAAAATAATGCCAAAATGGAAAAACCATGAGTGACAAAGTTAGGACACCCTTAATGTTAACATAGGAATTAAGAGGGCAAGAAGCAGTCAGGCACTGCTAATCAAATACCTTTGATTAACTGATCATCAGCAAGTGTGAACACCTCTATAAAAGCAGAAGTTGTTGCGGTTTGCTGGTCTGGATCCTTCAGGTGTGTGTTAACACAATGCCAAGAAGGAAAGACATCAGCAATGATATTAGAGAAACTATCTAAAAAAACATGGCAGCACGTTTTAGGTTTGCAAAGTTGCATCTGAACAAAAAAATAAGACTTCTAGAACAATGTCTTTTGAACAGATGAGACCAAAGTGGAGATGTTTGGCCATAATGCACAGCGCCACAATTGGTGAAAACCTAAAGAGCATATCAGCACAAACACCTCATAGCAAAAGTCACACATGCTGGTGGAGTGCTGATGATTTTAGGCTTGTTTTGTAGCCACAGGACTTGGGCACCTCACAGTCATTGAGTCAACCATGAACTCCTCTGTATACCAAAGTATTCTAGAGTCATCACAGTCATTGAGTCGACCATGTATACCAAAGTATTCTAGCCCTGTAAGGCCCACTGTTGTAATATTACAGCATCAGTTTTAGCTTGACTAAAAAAGTTTGTTTTTTTTTTTTTTTTCTCTAAGACCACATTTACACAACTAATGGGGTCCTATTCTTCAGCCTTGCTATGCTATTGGATGCTAGATTTTAAAAATAGGCTTATTTACCTGGCCATAAACTCACACAACCTGCGAACTTCCCTTGAAGCACATCATCTTGTTTTACTGGACTGGATAAATCTGAATAAAGTAAGCAAAATGCCTAACATATTTTTTTCTGTCATTATTAATATGTGTAGACCATGTAGATATTAAGGTATTGTTGAATGCATTGATCATTTTAGATTTTGAGCTTGTTATGTCAGTGTTGTAATTTTGCAACTTTGGGTTAAAGGGGTAGCGAAATTTGCCTGTGCACCTTGCACATTACATGGAGGAATTGTACTTCTCATCTGTTCCATATGAAAAAATACTAATAGAAACATACTGTTTTTGATCATTCACAAGTTTTAAATGGCTTTTTTGTTACCATTTTGAGATTCAATCAAGATTTTATGATTATTAATTGATAAGTTCAAGTTGAAGAATAAATGATTTCTTCAATAATTTGAAAGTATTTGTGTAACAATATTTTAAACTCTCTGTATCTTATAATCTACAACAGAACGGCTGAAAAGAAAAGAATCAAGGTGTTACAATAGCCCAGTCAAAGTCCAGAGCTCATCCTGACTGAAATGCTGTGGTGAGAGCTGTGCATAAACAAATACCCACAAGCCTCAATAAACTGGAGCAACGCTGTAAAGAAGAGTGGGCCAAAATTCCTCCAGAACGATGTGAGAGACTGTATTCTTATGGCAAACAGCTACACGAGTTGGGGTGGGTGATTATTGAACAAGTAGGTGTGCTCTAATTCAAACTGCGCACATGCCGGCCTCTAGATAATTCACAGGCTAAGAGTCAGCATGACTGACGCTCCTACATATGTGGAGAATTGACTGGGTGATTACGTTTTGCGTTGCTGCAAACGATCGCACCCCAAAGAGATGGATCAGCTTAACTGCCTGCACTCCAAACTTTCACTTCGCTCATTGGCCACCATTATTTAAGAATTGATCTGCTCTATCGACGATAGCCCAGTGAGCCAAAAAGCAATTGATCAAACAAACTGTTCAGTTGATGCCTTATTTGTCATGTCAGTTTGAGGGGTTCAGATCCGCAAAAAAAAAACAAAAAAAAAAACAAGTCTCGAGTCTGAGGACCAAGTGGAGGAGAGGGGTACAGGCACAAAGCTTGGCAAGAAAAACGTCAATGTGCAGGAGTGTCACAGCTTTCATGGTAATACAGCAGGTTAATTTAATGCATTAATAAGTCCAAAAACATACAACTACAACCAATAAATGATTGACATTATAAACCAATGCTGAGTGCTAAAAACTCCGATATGTCATGTTAAAGGAAACTGCACTTTTTTGCCATTGTTATACTTTTAATTTTTAATCATTTAATCATTGAAATGTTGATCTATTAATCTTAAAATATGCAGAAGAAATTAAATACTCAGAATCGGTTCATAAAAACCAACCAGCCAAAACTTTACTAACATGGTGCCAATATATTATGCATCTTTACTTTGCATTATACAACAAAAATCATTATACAACAAAAAATGGTAAAATTAAACGTTTTAAAAGAAAGCAAAAGGGCCACTGTATATCAATGTATATCACTGAATTCCAAAAAAAATCTTCAAAAGTTTATTTGAAAAAGACTTTGACTCTAATTTAATGATTAAATATGGAGAAGCTAAGATCAGGGCTTTAGAGCAGTATGCTTCTCTTATAGCAGCTGTTCAGGGTGAAGTAGAGACAACATTAGGGCAGACTGTGCCAGTCTCTATTAGAGAGAAGAGCAAAAGCTGTAAACAAGTTTGATGTCAGCTCCAAAAAAAACCTAAAATGTTTGTGCTGTAGGGCTGAGCAAGAGTGAGAGGCATGGTGAGTATACTTGGCACTAGTGCTGGGCAGTATACCGGTTCATACCGAATACCGGTGTTTATTTTTGTTATTTGACAT